GCACAAGGAAAAAAAAATTCCCAGATTCTATGACGGAGCAGAGATGCTGAAGCGAAAGCCAGTCTTCCCACGGTCATGCTCAAATTGCTTCAGTATATAGTAGTAGTTGCACTGACAACAAAAAACGAGCTTGTTAAACCCTGAGACAATAGGGATCTTGCTAACCAGACAACCAAATAAAAACTAGGAACCAAACAAATACATGAACTCGGGCAAAACAACACACAAACACAAATGAAAACAGGCATGCATCACATGTATCCCCTTCAGAGGAGTTTAACTGATGAGACTCGAACAAGAACAGATTGTTTACAAGATCCATTTAATCATAACCATTTTCCAAAGATTTCAGAAGCATTCCTGAATCGTAATCACCATGTAATAAAATTAGATTGTTTTCCCAGACACCCAGTATAAAAGCAGATAAGACCATGAAAGAAAAACCCCTTTTGAAGAAAGAGGATCCTTATGCCCATTACTTCATCCAATCTATCTCATACAATACAAATCATGGATGCAAGAAGTATATGTACCATGAATTTCCTATCTCAAAATTTTACATCAAAATCAGATTAAATAGCTAACCTCTAGGCGGAAGAACTTGGTAGGGACAACAATCCCTGCTCCCACAGAACTTCGAAATGACTGAAGGAACTTCGGGGCAGAAAAGTTTCGGAATTCGTTCTCCGTCAATTTCGCCAGATTCCCTGCACCTGCGAAAATATGACCATGCACTCCATGTTGTTTTAACCAGCGAAGTGGAAGGTCAAATGAAATGTCTGCAAATGCAGAAACAGCAAGATCTCCTCCAACAGAATCTCTTCCAGGGGATTCTGAATTCTCCTCATTAGAATTATCTCCGACATGCCTTCTTGGTTCAGTTGGGCCTAGTCCCCTTGTCTTGAATCCCCACACTGTTGTAGGGCCCCCAACAGTGCAAACTGGAGAGAAATCACCACCCAGGAAGAACCGCTCTGGAAGGGATGAGGGCTTGTTCAAGAATCCACTCCCCCATGGAAAAATAACTCCTGCGGAGATCCCAAAATTAAGTGCAGCATGATAAAATCCTAATGGAACCGCATAACGAAGATCGAACTCCTGTAGCATACAGTAAGAGAAGAAAGTTAATAAGCATAATAACTAATAGGTCAAGAGAATAAGTAGAAAGGGGGTAAAAATCAATCTTTAAATTGGTTCTTTACATTATCCACATTTAGCCTTAAATATAAATGATCTGACTTAAAGCAAAAGGCCACATATCCATTGGCATTAAGAAGCTGCTACTTTTCATTACCTTGAATCAAGCTGCAAGATAACAATGCACACAAATTTACTACAGGACAAAGAAAGCTTCATAATACAGATTGTCAGAGTTTGAAATCTCTAATTAGCAAACGATAATATTGGGTTTCTTAATTTCAAAATATAAAGATAAAACACGGTAGAGAATAGAATGGTCTCATTGTTTTTCATTTCATGTTCTGCTTCTATTATGAGTAGCAAAGAGTATCAGTAATATACAAGAAAATGAACAGATTGTATCTGAATAATGTATTAAGTCCGCAACATGGGCTCTTCCAAGATGGCCTACTAGAAAAAAAGGACTGCAGTCATGGTCATCGTTCAAGAATATGAAATAGAAGAACAAACCCATATAAGAAATATTAGAAATAACTCATCATGCAATGACAATTCTGGGAAACATTCTATCATTAATAATCTAAACATGAAAGTATGATTAATAACATTTACAGATCTCTTAAGCAGGTGTTAACCAAAAGATTTAACATGAACGACACATATACGTTAAATTATTTTTTTCCCTTTTCCCTCCTAAGTTTGGCTTAAAAAGAAACTAAAATTTCCATAGTCACATATGAGACAAGAACAACAGTATACAGATACTATAATTCCATCTTTGAACATTTGACCAAAATAACTCCATGACCCAAATATAAGTGAAATAGCAGCGCATATGCCAATTCAAACACAGACAGATAGTGGCTTTAGTAATCAACAGAATCAAAAAAAAGAAGAGAATTTGTACTAAACCTGACGCAAAAACCTCGTGCTTCGATGATCAGGTGCAATGCCACCAATATGACTCGTCGAAACAAATGAGTAACCTCGAGTTGGCCTCAAAGGTGAATTTCTCCTATCAATCTTAAATGTGTATTTGATTGAAGAAAGTAATTCATGGCCGAGCTGCCTTCTTATTGACCTCGAGGCCAATTGTGATGGGTCTGCTAGGGTTCGCCAACCCAGATTGTATGCCAAATCATGGTGTTTTGATGAAATCAGTCCAAGAGAGAGCCCCATCATGCGCTCTTTATAAGAAGAGAATTCCAGCCAATCTTGGGAAAGCAGGAATGCTCGTGCCGTCATTGGAGTAACAAACCCTTTGAACCTAGGCAAAAACAGACCAGCACTTAACTCCGACGTTTGGTTGGGCCCATATGCCAAAGAACTATCCCACAAATCCCCATATCCGAGCAGATTTTTGAACTTCAGTGTTCCTTCAGCAGTCCATGACCTAGCCTACAAAAACATTACACAACTCTGTAAGTCATATATCGGGTACCATGCTTATGCATCTGTTCACATTTACGAAACAAGAGAACACAGCATATTATGGCTTTAAGCTCCCACATTTGCATTCATCACTTAACCCCACCTCCTAGTATTATAATATCATATGATCCTTCGAACGGAAAAACTAGGAGCAGCAGATATGGACAGGTTTTACCAGTATATTGGTTTCGATGTGGGATTTAAAATTTAAAACGAATGCCATCTATTTCACGCCCATCTGTGCAAGTAATTGTACAGCATACGCAGACGAATTTAATTTCAACTCTCTAGTTAATATCATCCAGATTTCCATTTCCTCCAATTTCTCAGCACCAAACAGTCTGTAGTAGTTCTACGTACTAAACCCTAATCTCACCAATTCAGCAAACCAAACCAATATATACAAATATATGAAGCATATAGCAACAAAAAAACGTACCGCCGGCTTCGTGTAAGCACCGATTTCGCCAGAAATCGGGCTCTTAGTTTCGACGACCTCCACAATAACATTGGTAGTTCCAGGCAGCTCCGGCGGGCCAGAATCGAGGGTGATCCGAACCGCATCGAATATTTCAAGCTGCTGAAGCTTCGCATTTGCAATTGCGGCGGCCTCGAGCAGCTCTTGCATGGTGGTGGCCTTCTTAATCCCCGCCAGCTCGGCCTCGATCAAATGCTCCTTCGTCTTCGTGTTGCCCTTGATCAGAACGTCGTGGACCCTCAGATCGACTCGCTCGGTCGACATCCGCTGGACCAGGTTCTCTAGCTTGGACTTCTCCGCGCGCAACCGCGCCTCCTGAGAGAGAGGCTTTCGTGGCAGAGGTGGCTCCTCGTCGTCGTCTTCGTCTTCCTCTTCGTCGATTTCGTCATCCATTTCGTCGGGTTCGGGGTCGCCGTCGACTGTGCCGTCGACATTGGAGGGAGGTTCCTCGTCGCGGTCGTCCTTAGGGTTTTGAGTTTCGGAGTCGGATTTTGCCATAGGGAGAGAGATTAGGGAGAACGGAGGGCGGCGGTTTGGAAAAAGGGGCAAAACGAGCGGCGGCGCTGATGAATTTTGAAGGCCACTCAGCAGTGACTTGCAACAGCGGGTGTGATTGTGTGAGGCCTACTCTCTTTCTGTTGGGCTTTCGCGGGTCGGAATTTTTTTTAACGTTTTATTCTTCTAATTATTTTTTTTTAGATAACTTTAACGAAAAGCTTCAGTATTGTTCATTTTAACGAAAAATCATATTTTTACATTAAAAAGTTAATCATAATACTATTCACTTTATCCTTTATTTTGTCATTATTGTTAAAACTCAAAAATTTTAAACTCTTTTCATTAATTTTAGAAACTAAAGTTACATCTTAATCAAAAGATACATTACGTTACATGATTGAACATTATAAAACGCAATATAAAATATTTTATAAAAACCATCTCAAAAAGAAAATACATAAACTCTCAAAGAGAAAATGGCAAGCTGAAAAAAAAAAAAAAAACTGGTAATGTGGGCTTAATAAAAAAGGAAAACTAATGAAAATGACTTGAAAACTTTGAGTTTTAATGATAAGGACAAAATAAAAGGTAAAGTGAATAGTACCAGGATTGACTTTTTAATGTAAAAATGTGATTTTTCGTTAAAGTGAACAGTACCGGGTGCTTTTCGTTAAAGTTCCCTAATAAAAAACCTCCCAAGAAAACTACCTAGAACAAAACTTCGAAATAGAAAAACAAAGCTTAACACACACTTGACCAACAAATACGAATCAATGTAATAGCGTAAACCACCTCACCACCTATGCAATCGTATATTATATGAGTCGAGCTTCATTACCTTATTATTTGTTTCGGTCGTAAGCGATACTCTTTCTAGTTATTAAAACTATGTCATATGTCAATGGAATATTAACTTTAGCTGTCAACTCATATTACAAGACGTAAATTAATAATTTCAAGTAGCAAGTAATTGTTATGTTCCAAAGTGTCTCTCACAAAGTCCAACTCTATTTAAATTGGACCTCAGCCTCAAGTAGGCCTGGGCAAAAAATACCGAGAACCGAACCGAACCCAATCGGTTTGGTTTTTTTTCCGGTTCATTTGGTATCGGTACAAAATTGGTTCAGTTTGGTGCTTAGTCAGTTCAATTTCGGTTTCGGTTTCGATTCTATGTTCAGTATCGAATCAATTTTAGGCCAAAAACTGATTTGGGCTTTTTTTTTTTTTTTTAACAAAATTGAAAAACAGGCCTTGTTCCTTAAAGGCCCAGAATCGAACCAAACCCAACCTATAAGTTTCGGTATTAAGTTGGTACAACTATTCATACCGTACCGAAATTTTGCTACGGGTTCGGTTTTGGTACCATCCCAGTACCGAACCGTGCCAGGGCTAGCCTCAAGCCCACCAAAACCAACTAAGGACTGGGCTTTCCACTGGTCCATTTGCTGGGTCCCTGCAAGCAAGGGCTCCTTTTTTCAAAAATTCAAACAAAACCTCCCTCCTCCTCCTCCTCCATCTCCACCACCACTATCACCATGTCCAACAATGATCTTTTCACCTCCCTAATCTCCGACGTCAAAACCTACTCCGGCAAAGACCCTCTTCTACCATGGCTAAGGTACCCTCTCGCCACCTCCATCTCTTCCTCGCTATCAGTTACCATTCTACTGTTTAACCCATTCGATTTCACATTGTGGTTGCAGAGGGATTCGAAAAATGAACGACTCACTCCCGCCTCACACTCTGAAGGAGAAGCTCCCTCGCTTCTTGCAGAAGTGTGCGCAGACGTTCGAGTCCGATCGACGATACCGAAATGATTTGCGCTACATTCGAGTTTGGTTAAAGTTGGTAACTTTCCAACCCCTTTCTTTGTGATCGAGAGTTTCTTCTGGGTATTTTGGATTTTTACTGATTCTTAGATACTGTTTGGTTACTGGGAAAATTGAAGTTGAGAAGTGTAAGGGGTTCGATTTGGGTTTTTCCAATTTTTGATGTTTGTTTTGTGGGTAGATGGATTTTGTCGAGGATCCGAGAGCTCTGTTGAGAACAATGGAGGCGAATCAAATCGGGACAAAGCACTCTTTGTTCTACCAGGCATATGCTCTGTACTATGAAAAGAACAAGAAATTTGAGGAAGCCGAGAAGATGTACCACTTGGGAGTGCAAAAGTAAGTGTTTAGACTTCAGCATTTGTTTTCATTGAATGTCTAGTGGTGCTATCAACGTATAGGGGAATTAAACCTTGTACCGAATTCGTTAGTGTTTGCTAGCTTGGATATGTTGTTTTGCTAATATGTAGGTTAGATGCCAACCTATTCATATGTATTGTACAAGTCTGGATTCGGGCTATAAGTGGCAGTAATTTGAATGCTCCAACCTCTAGTGGAGTGAGGGGACTTGTAACTTAAGCAGTTAAGAGCGTTTAACCTTGCATTAGAGGTCTTGCCTTCAAATTGCCCCCTTCCAAAATTGTTTGTATCAAAGTTTAGTGTATCGAGCTAAAGTACGTTATCAATGAAACTGGACACATTTTCTTTTCCAAGTTTGTTGAACATGGATATAGTGCCTTTTCGTAAATCAGTTGCCTTCTTTGATGTAATGGTTTGAATTGGACTACAAACTCTTAAAATTGCAATAGCTACTATAAGGGTTTCTGTGTATGTACATTTCTGAAAATTGAATTGCTGCTACATTACATCTTATTAACTTCCGAACAGCCTTGCAGAGCCCATTGGAGCGTTAGAGAAGTCGTACGAGCAGTTCCTTCAACGGATGGAGAGACACAGGAGACACAGAAACCAGGTAGTTTATTAATCTTCTTGTTGGTGTATGGGGATTGTAGTTTGTGTTGTTAGCACTCCTTTTAACTTTAGAAAACTGTTATGCATTGCCAGGAAAAGAGGACCTTGAAAAGGCCTCTGTCAGATAAGACTATCCCTCCAAATGGAGAAAGGAACAAAGAAAATGCCTGCAGGATCGGCCCCAGGCCTATAGAATCCCAACATGTTCCGTCTAGAAGTGAGCATCAAGTGACTTCTGGAAGAGGGTCAGAGGAACTGAAAATGTTTGGCGGCGATGATACAGTTGTGGTGAAGTTTGTAGACACTGCCATTGTTGGGAAGTCTGAAGCGGAAGATGCGTGTCACCATGGATTGGTGGATCCTACTATAAACATGAAAGAGGCCATGAGCGCCATCAATGACATGTTTCGAGAGCCTATAGAGGCGGCTCCCATTAGCAGAAGATCTCGACAATCCCAACCGAAGAACAATACTGTGGACAGTGGATTCCAAGTATTTGTTGATGACAACTTAGATAATGGAGGGAAATCCGAAAATATTAAGGGAGAATTGAGTAGAACTGCTACCCACCAGTCTCACCAAGAACCTTTAAACATTTTCATTGATGATGATGATAATGACGACAAAGATAGCCCTGATCAGAGTGACATCGGAAATCCGACAGATGATTCTACCTCACCTGCTTCACATGGAAATGTATTCGTGTTTCCAAATCCAAAAGATTTTCCGGGTGAAAGTTCCGGTGATTTGGCTGTTGAAGGCTCATCTCAACCGAGGTTCAGGGAGGATACAATGGTTTGTAGGTTTGTTGGGGCCACCATTTCGGATGAGCCAGAGGAGGTCGAAAATGCTTGCCACCATGGTTTGGTAGACCCTACAATCAACTTAAAGGAAGCCATGGATGATATCAATAACATGTTTGGGAAGCCAATGGAATTTGTAAGAAAGAGGAGAGTGAAAAACCAGGAAAGAGGACTTGATAGGAAAGAAGATTTTGGTGGGTTTTCTATACTTCCTGATGATAACTTGAACCAGAAGCAAGAGCAGAAAATGCCTGATTTACCGCAGAGATCAAGAGATTCAGATTTGTTCGAGGCCACTGTAACAACAAAGGAGGCCATGGATGAGATCAATAAGATGTTTGGAATGCCCCTGGACTTCTAGGAAGAATTCCAACTGCTAAGTGTGTGCGTGCTGCAGATTTTCGGGTTTGTTGTTGTAGGGAATGTATTGAGCTGTGTTGCTTTACTTCCTCATTCATCCATTGTACTTGAATTTTGGAAATCTTAAAGTAAACAGATTTGTGCTATCCTACTTTCCAATTTTAGTTTGATCTATCTATTTGTGCCTACAATCATGCATTTTGTCCCCTATTTTCTACAGATTCCAAAAAATGAGAACTTTCGGGCACTTGGGAAATCTAGGAAGCCACGATGACGATATCTTAAGTCAATCACTCACTGTCAGGTGCTTTAACTTTCCCACATCCCATAGTTTATCTTACAAAGAACGGATAAAGAAATAAATGAAACATGTCATTCCATCACTTTGCAGTACAAAACCAGTTTATTCAAGAAACAAAACAAATTTTCAGACACCGTAACATTTTCAAAACAAATTGAAAAAAAATGGAAAACAGAAGTAGCAAAGGTTAACTTTAGGATGAAAATTAATCAGTGAAAACCCGGTGTTCCGAATCAAGAGTGAGTAGTAGGGCAATAAGAAGGACGGAAAGCCAGAGGCCCTGCAGCATACACAACAGCCTCATAGTTCCTCCCCCACAACCTCTTGTCCTCGTAACGAAGCGGGGCGCCATAGAGCCCGTAATTCACATTGGTGAGCTCACTGCACTTTGCCAGGGGAGAAGAAACAAGCTTCACCTTGCATCCATGGAGTGGATGGTCCAAAAGATGTTGTGCAACTTTAAACCCTTCAAGCTGTGCGTAGAAGTAGCCTTTAACGTCCGCCACAAAAGACTTGTAGAAGCTGACTTGGCCCTTGTGGTTCTTGCAGATGACGCTGATTTTCGCCGAAGGAATCGGCTCGGCCCCGGCCAAGGACGATGTTCCGTAGCGGTCACAGCTCTGGCAGTACACCACGCCTTCCACCACCACTTTCTCCGGTTGCTCGGGGGTTTCCGGGGAGTAGTCGCTGGCGGTTGCGGATGGGAAGGAGAGGGAGATGAGGAGGAGCGAGGAGATGAAGATTATGAAGCTCCTGCTTGCCATTTCTTGGGGGTTAGGGAAAGGACTGCAGGAGCTTATTTTAAAAGTGCTTAGCAGAAAAGCCGGGTTGGATGAAGAGCGATTGGATGGGATGGTATTTATAGGTTATTGGTTTATATGGCATATTTGACGACACAAGCTAATCTTGTCGGACGTGGGAGCTACTAAGTTGCATGCCAACTGCCACTACGTGAAGGCCATTAGCCCAATACTAAATCTTTCCTATTTCTATGGTTTCTTATTTGGGTATTAAACCTTTTTTTTAGGTAAAAATGTATTTAGTTTAATGAGAGGCATCAGTAACCCCAGAGACTTCTAGAACCATACAAAAGAGCGTTTCTAGCTTGATGAGGAATACAACCATATTAAATACGTTAAAATCTCAACTTCATACAAAATTTTAATTAAAATGGATATGAAAGGATCCTAAATTAATAATAAATCGTAATTTAACTGGTTTAACCCATTGAGAATTTCATTTTTTTGGTTAAAAGTTCAATACTAGCTTTGTTCATGTATAATTCTTTTTAGGGTCATTTTGATTCTGGTCCCTAATCAACCTAATTGTTAGACTGAAATCTTGTTTGTTTAAATATTTTGATCAAGGTCTTTAACATCATTTAAGATATTTAACTCATGCATTTATGATTTAATGTCCCCCAAATTATGAAATTTAAACAAATTCAAAAATATTTTTAAAATATAATAAATATTAGAGTAATATTGTTCTTCACAAATTATCAACATATTAGAGTAATACTTAAAAATAAATATTAGAGTAATATTGTTCTTCACAAAATTATAGCAAGAAAATAATGTACCCACATAATTATCAACATATTTTTTAAAATAACTACTGATATATTTAAAAACATAAAATAAATACATATGATTAGCATGGGTACATTTAGCAAAATTAAAAATGGGTACAAATAAATTAAAAAATATGGGTACAAATACAAATAATGTCACATCCCCGCCCAGGCTCATTCCACCACCGTAGCATAATATTGTTCGCTTTGGGCTTACCATTCCCTCACAGTTTTGTTTTTGGGAACTCACGAGCAACTTCCCAGTGGGTCACCCATCCTGGGAGTGCTCTGGCCTCCTTCTCGCTTAACTTCGGAGTTCCGACGGAATCCAAAGTCAGTGAGCTCCCAAAAGGCCTCGTGCTAGGTAGGGATGGGAATATACATTTAAGGATCACTCCCCATGGGTGATGTGGGATGTCACAATCCACCCCCTTAGGGGCCCGACGTTCTCGTCAGCACATTTCCGGCCAAGGATTGGCTCTGATACCATTTGTCACATCCCGGCCTGGGTCCATCACATCCCGGGACTGCTCCATCACCATAGCACGATATTGTTCACTTTGGGCTTACCATTCCCTCACGATTTTGTTTTTTGGAACTCACGAGCAACTTCCCAGTAGGTCACCCATCCTGGGAGTGCTCTGGCCTCCTTCTCGCTTAACTTCGGAGTTCCAACGGAACCCGAAGCCAGTGAGCTCCCAAAAGGCCTCGTGCTAGGTAGGGATGAGAATATACATTTAAGGATCACTCTCCTGGGCGATGTGAGATGTCACAAATAAAACTTTAAAAATATGGGCATAAAAAGAAATTAATATATGGTACAAATTAAAACTGAAAAGAAAATTGGTACAAATTAAAAAAAAAGGTTGCAAATTAAAAATGGGTACAAACTAAAAATAAAAATATATGATACAAAATTTAGCCATAAATATAAATATATCAAATATAACATTTCTAACACTCAATGAATATATTTAGAAATAAAAAATATGTTATTATTGAAATAATTAATGACATTTATTAAAACCTAAGAACCTTGATAAAAAAAATTGAAAAGGAATAAAATTTTAATCAATGGGGTAGCAAAAAAAAGGATGAAAACCTAATTTCTCATTCTTTTATAGGAAAATTTATTGAAATTTCAAACAAGATGACACTTGAAATGTGTATGTTGTATGATTCTTTTTTTCAGCTTCAGTTGTCTCGTTTGAGAAGCTAAGAGCTCGTCCAAAACAGTTTTTAAAATGGATGAAGACACTTTTTGTGAAAACGTATTTTGAACCAATCTTTAGTAACAAATCAAATTAATCTTGGAAAAACACTTGAAATATTTTCTGCAAGAAACATACAACTGGTGTTTCTTGCAAAAATCACTTTAAGTGTTTATAGAACCAAAAAATATTCTCTAAAAATGCTTTCAGTCATTGCGTTTCTCAGTTGCATTCTCTAGTCCAAGTGCTCGGCAGTTTTCACTAGCATTAGATATCTCATGCATTATAAATGGAGAAGGTTCTAATTAGTTACAAAATTGAGTTGACAAACTTTTTGATAATTGTTGTGATTATATCATTATTTACAGGATCCACCTGTATTAGGGAATGACGTAATATATTTTTTGTGTGTGTAAATTATGTTAAGTTGTGTAATATTTTAAAACATATCGAGTATGTTAGAAAATTAAGAAAAGAAAAAGGAAAGATAATTACTAAACACTTTGGTAGTTGGTAGGATTTCCCAAAAAAGGATAATTTGGATGATTTTTTAAAAGTCCGAAACGTTTGGTGCAGTTTTGGTAAGGGGTGTGCTATCCACACATCTCATTTTACTTCTCACACACCCCTTGATAATTTATGTCCGTTGATATTCTTCAATTTATCCGATCCAACGGCCGAAAATTAAAAAGGTGTATGAGAAGTAAAATAGAGTGTGTCGAATGTGGATATCACATCCCTTTTGGTAATATATGAATTGCGTATCTTACCGAACACAATATAGCCTCATTTACTTTATTTATCCAATGTCTTCATTCATTGAATTAAAAATCCAATTTTGACCGCACCAACGCTGTTTTTTTTTTTTAACAAAAGATATTGTCTATATTAAGAAAAAAAAAAAGGTGAGTTTAGCCTCACAATGGGCGAGCAATAATGTGATTCAAATTCGTCTTTGGTGAGAATCGAATCTAAGACCTCTCACTTACAAGTGAAGAGGACTATTACTAGACCGTAATACTAAGTGACACACCAATGCCTTCTTAAATTCTAGACACTATCATCTTGCTACACTCTCACGCGCTTTTGATTTGTACACAGAAGATGTCTTTGAATAGCTCTTGATATCTTTGTAATGAAGAGATTAAAGAAGCAATATTAGAGAGGAAAGGAATGAATCAAACATACAACTTCTTGTACAATGTTGATATTTTTCACTTTAATTTGAAGGCAATTCACTACCCGTTTACATTGGAAATAGGATTCCGACAAAAGCAACAAATTCAAACATTTTTCTTACAAATTTTAAGTGACGCACCAACGTCTTCTTAAATTTTAGACACTATCATCTTACTACACTCTCAGGCGCTTTTGATTTGCACACAAAAGATGTCTTTGAATAGCTCTTGATATCTTTGAAATGAAGAGATTAAAGAAGCAATATTAGAGAGGAGAGGAATGAATCAAACATACAACTTCTTGTACAATGTTGATATTTTTCACTTTAATTTGAAGGCAATTCACTACCCATTTACATTGGATATAGGAATTCCGACAAAAACAACAAATTCAAACTTTTTTCTTACAAATTTTAATTTTGTGCATAAAGGAAATTGACTTTATAGGAGGGTAATAAGATCAACAATTTTTTATAATATGGAATCTTGCGCGGTCATAAAGTAACAAAAAGTGTAGCGGGGATGAAAATGTTTCATTAAAGATAATTAAGGTAACGTATGAGTGACCGTAATTAAAGATAAGATAAGAGAAAATCAGTTAAAATAGTTTGGACACATGAACCGAAGACCTATAGATACTTCGATTGAAAATGAACCTATGAGATGAAGTACTGGTTTGGTACTGAGGTGCTTTTATAAAAGTGGGTATAAAAAAAAAGCTGAGCTCAAAAATGTGTTTGGTAAACACTTAAAAACAACTTATTTTCACAGTTTTGGGCGAAAAAAAAGTTGAAAACATGAAGCAGCAAATATGAGCTTATTCTCACAGCACCACAGAAGCAATTTTTTTTCAAAGCACAGTAATACCAAACCAGCCCGAAGGCTCCAGAAAACTTAGGAAAACATGGATTAAACTTTAAGAAAATATATGAAGTACTTAAAGTTAACGGAAGTCTTAGTGTAAAGCCGAGCGCATCAGTATTCTAAAATTCATACCGCCGATCTCACTTAATAAAACAAAATTTGGTTGTAGTTGTTCTTTGCATAAAATAAAGAGAATTTCATTGAACAAAAAAAATCGAACAGGACAATTCGATCTTCCCCAAAACTAACAAAATTCCAACTTAATTAGCTAGATAGAATAAAAATTATAATTTCAATTACTCATCACATTCATATTCCCCAAAAGTAAGCAAATTAACACCCAAATAAAACACAAACTGTGTTCTAATTTTTTTTTGTTTCAGTTCACTTAATTAATCAATTGGGGAAAATTTGAAATCTAGAATTCTCTGTGCCGCCGCCGTACCGGAGCACACGAAGGGCACATAATCAGACCGTTGACGTTGCATACGGTACAAGGTTTAAACCCAATCTTCTCAAAATAGACCTTATGGCTCCCATCACACGTCTGACAGAGAACAAATCTCAGCCCTCCACACAAATCGCACGCTCTGGAGTCTACCACTGGTAGCCGTTCGATCAGCCTCTTCAATTCTCCTATGTCGTGGAGCTGTTTGACCTCCTCGGCCCCACCAATGAAGAGCCCGCCAATGAAAACCATCGGCAGAGTCAGAGTCTTGTTCCCCGTAATCGCCTGCAGCTCGTCCAGGAACTTCCCGTCCATAGACAGATCTCGCTCGTCGATGGGGACGCGAAATCCACGGAGAATGGATCGGACGGCTTTGCAGTCCTCGAAGGTCCTGCGGACGACGCGGAGGCTGGTGTAGTAGATTACCACGCGCTGGTCGGCGTCTGGTGGAGTCGCGTTTCGGTGGGCCCACAACCGAAGGACTGAGGTGGATATTTTGACCCGGTGCAAAATGGAAGAGCTCCGCGGGCTTAGGACCTCGGATTCGGGTTCGGGTTCGCAGAGGTTTTGGATATCTTTGAAGGATGAGCAGGAGAAGCTCCTCTGTGACCGCGCTGGTTTATTTGTGTGCACCCTGCTCGGTGATTTCAGCCATGGTGACCACATGATGGAGAGAGAGAGAGAGAGAGAGAGAGAGAGAGAGAGGGGGGGGGGGATTAGGGTGTTATAGTGACTAGTGAGTCTTTGGTGGGTCTCCGTTGAGGGTTATTTATGCAAATCACGATAGGAATTTTGGTGCCTAATTAGGTATCTGACGTTAAGTATTGGTCCTAGTCCTAGATAAGAAGAAAGGATATCTTTTTGGAATTTCAAAACATTTTTTGCTCACCAAATTTAAATAATTTCAACCTAGTTCTAGGTTCAGTCAAACATACGTTTTTACAGCTAAGTACAATGTGTCGAGTGTATTGAGTAATTAATCGTTGTGTGTACTAGTTATTGGTACTAGAACGTGAAGTTTGAATTTTGTTATTGAAATACTTCTAACGTCGATAAAGAAATGTCACTAGATTGAATGATAAAAAAGATAGGAACATCGTAGTTTTAAGCATCCTTTGCAATGAGAAACATTTTCACATATGTTTTTCCCTATACATATCTATATTTGGAATTACGGTAAGAGTTGTATTTGCCTGTATGGTCAAAGTATGTGCATGCACCCAATACAACCGTTTTTGGGCTTTAAATACATTTGTAATTTAAAGTTATAACAAGTGTGTTTTTTTGTATTCATATTGGCTAAATGTTAATAATTTAAGGAATTTAATTTAGAACTAAATTCAACTAATGTTGAATGTGATTATTTGGTCTAGCAACATCTATTCTCATTCACTTTGTACATATCATATTTCTATCTTCGTTTGTTCATGAGAAAATGTGTGGACTCACTATATTTTTTTTCGTACCAATAGTTGAATATTAATACACGATCTATTGATATTTATTTTCACTTATAGGTGAGGTAGTATGTTTGAATCTCATAAATAAAAAATTTAACATAAATTTATTTTTCACCCCTTAATGTAAATATCTCGTTGTATTTAAAGAAAATCTATGACTTTCAAATGATAAAATTTTGTTAACCAATTAATTCATTTAGAAAAAAGCTTAGTTATACAATTTTTACGAGTTCGGTGCAATGCTATGAACTTTCACGTAAAAGGCATGAAATCCATACAAAATAATTGTGAGTTATACAATTCATAATTATGCAAGTTTTCTATTATTAGAGAGTCACAAAGGTCCATCGTCTATTATTTTTAAATCTGGATGCAATAACTTATCCTTACCCGCTCACGCACTCGCACGTGGACGAACTGACTCAAGCATTGCTCTTATTTATCTTATCTTATGGCATCTTCTCATTGAAAATCTTTTATATATGAATATCCACGGGTTTCTTCTAGCATAATCTAATATTATTCATGTAGTTCAAACCTTCTCATAATGCAACAAGATTGTTTCATACTTTCTGTAAGAAAAATTGATCCCTTAATTCAAAAATGAGACAATTGCCAAACATGTGGTTTGGACTTTGGACACACATAAAAGATCTTTAGGGGGCGCGTAGTGCCGACTGCCTGTAATAAAATGTGTAAGTAGCATGTAATGCGCCGTAATTCAAAAAATGTCTTTTGCACGTGCATAAATACTATTGTTACTTATTTGTCTAATGAGTAATGGCGCCATCTCATTAAAATGTTGCTTCTTCTTTTCCTTGCATATATTGAGATATTAAATTTAAAAATATTTGGACAAAAAGTAAAACCACATGCAAATAATCATATAACCCATAATTATATAAGATAAGAGACCTTAATGGGTCCGGAACTTCTATTAATCCTATAAATAACGATACAGCACATTTGTGAAAAAACTCTAAAAAGCTACAATCAATTCGCTTTTCTTAATTCTCCCCTTCAAAAGGAAAAAGGAGCAATAAGGGGCACCAAACTAACCTCTCTCTGAAGGAGCACCAAACTCTAGCTTCAACGGCGCTGTTGGCCCTTGCTATGGCTTAGGCTGGCGACACCCTCTCCTCTCCTCCTCCTAGCCTCTTTCCCACCCTCCTGCACCTTCCACAGCTGTCTTTCTCACAAAGCATCCACATCCTCACATGCAAGGAAGGTCACAAAACCGTACAGATCTGAGAGTTTTGTGACCATCCTTGCAGGTGAGGATGTGGATGTTTTTTTTTTGTTTGTGGACGGATTTTGCACAATACTCTCATATCTAGTTTGTGGTTAGTGTTCTCTTTTTCTTTTGGGGCGACGAATTTTTGTGCGATGGAAAAATTAAGTGTTACAACCAAGTTTTATCGGGTCATATCCGTAATATACAAATGAGTTTGTGTTACATGCTAACCAATCGAGTTTAGGATAATTTCACACGTCACAAAGACGATAAACACAAGTATTGTTAGGTACAAGAACAACCGTAAAGAATCAAATGGAAATCAAGGGACGTAATGAAACAAGAGTTTGCAGAGAAAAAAATAATTGTACGGAACATGTTAGATAATTTTGTTGGGTTTGAGCCCACTGATTGATGGGCTTCGTCCCACTCTGGTTACTATGAGGCCCAATTATATTTCAAGATCTTTTCTATTTTTGTAGAAACTAGAAATGGGAGAATTACTGAATTAGTGTTGATGGCAGCGAGAAGAGGAGATTTGAAGAACGCTGAATTACTGTTAAAAAAAGGCGCGGATATAAACTGCTGTGATCAATACGGCTTGACAGCCCTGCATGCCGCGGCCATCAAAGGCCACAACCACGTTGCTCGGGTGCTTATCCGATTTGGGTCCGACTTGGAGTCCCAAGACGGTGATGGCCAAGCACCCTTGCATATGGCCGTCGTCGGCGGGAGCTTAGAGATGGTTGAGATCTTGGTTCGTAATGGGGCTAATGTAAATGCCAAGAGCAACGGCGGCGCCACCCCTCTATGCATGGCTACTTCTATGGGGTACGGTGATATAACTGAGTTTCTTAACAGTTACTGATTGCATTGAAGACCAAATATGACATATCCAAAAAAAAACACTATTGATTTGTATAGACACGTTATATATCGATTGGATTAAGGGAAAACGATGAATAGAGGAACAAGTTGGATGCCAATTTCACATTTGGTCCTATTGGGTGATACCATATAAACTTGGGAAACTTCGCTCATTTGTATTTTGCATTGGAGTTTTTATTAGTTCTAGTGAATTTGTACTCATTGCATTTTTGTTCTTGTGCTTTCATTCTAGTCTAATTCGTCAACTAAGTTGAATGATTTACTCATTTGACGGATTAGGCTAACGTTGCTAACGAAAAATAAGACTTTTTAGTCAAAATGATCACTGAGATTGACATAACGCTTCACTTTGATCCCAAAGTTTAAAATCGATAGAAGTGGTCCATAAGATTCTCCATCATCAATCATTTTGGTCATTCTCTGTTAAATTGAGGGTATTTTTTGTCAAATTAACCCATCCACTAAACCAATGGTTTCTTCAATTTAATGGACATTTTTCACATAATGACCAAAATGGTTGATGGTGGAAAATCTCATAGACCACTTCTATCGATTTTAAATCTCAAAAACCAAACTGAGAAGTTATGATAATTCCAGAGACCAAAACTACGAAGACGTAAATGCAAGACCAAAGTGAAAAACCAAATAAACGCGGGGACTATGAGTGCAAATTATGGCTCCCTTGGCAGTTGGTTCAAATTACACACCACCCGTCCCTACTGTGACCCTCACTCCACTCCAGCGCAAAAATGTACGCCTCACTCCTCCTCCTCCTCCTCCTCCTCACAAACCCGGTATCGCCGTCCTCCTTTCCGGATCGTTTCACCAAATCCCTCCCCTCTTCCCTCCACCGCCACGCGTCCCAAGAGTACTTCGAGCTTGGTCAACCCCTGCCGTTCGATCGTCTCACCCCGTCCTGCTCCCTCCGCGTCCTCACCCACTCCTTCGCCAACACAATCAATGGCCCTCCTTTCTCCACCCCCTACTCCCCGCCGTCCGGTTGCTCATCCTCCCCTCCCTGGTCCGGGTGGTCCCACGTCGCCCTAGAGTTTCGTGCCAAATGCAAAGGCGAGCAGTACGACCGTATCGCCGGCTTGTGGCTTGGCGGCGCTGAGATCCTCCGTACCAGCACGGCCGAGCCCACGGAGGACGGAATCTTCTGGAAGGTTCGAAAGGATATCACAAAGTACTCCTCTCTCCTCTCACGCTCCGGCCTCAACCTCACCATGATGCTCGAAAACGTCGTCGACTGCGACTACACCGGCGTTTACCACGTCGAAGTCCATTTCCTTTTCTACGACCATTTCCTTTCCTACGATAAAAACGCCACCGTTTCGCCTGTTAGGGTTTCTTCGATCATCCCAAATCAAATTTCTGCAATCGTCCCAGACAAACCGGCCGATTTGATCCTCCCGATATCAGATACCGGAAACAAAGGATCCTGGTTCCGAATCGAGGGCGAATTGGATTTGCACTCAAAGGCAATTCGAATTCCTCGGAACGCAAGGCGAGTCGTTGTGGAACTGTACGTGTCGTTCCACGGAAACGACGAGTTTTGGTACTCGAATCCGCCGGATATATACATCTCGACGAACCACTTAACGACGGGGAGAGGACACGGAGCTTATAGGGAGGTTTTCGTGACAGTGGACGGGGAGTTGGTGGGGTCGGAAGTTCCGTTTCCGGTGGTGTTCACTGGCGGCATTAACCCTCTGTTTTGGGAGCCGGTGGTGGCGATCGGGGCATTCGATCTTCCTTCCTACGAGCTAGAACTGACGCCATTTCTGGAGAAGCTTCTAGATGGAAAACCTCACAGCTTCGGAATCGGAGTGACGGATGCGATTTCGTACTGGCTTGTGGATGCCAATCTGCACATTTGGCTGGATCATCAGTCCAAAACCGTGCAAGCAAGACGCAGTTTTTTGCCTCTGCCTCCGGCAGTCAGGGTAAAGCGCCGCTCGCAGTTCAAACAGCTTGATGGGTCTTTCAGCATCAGGGCAGAGAGGAGTAGCGAATTTGTGGGTTGGGTGTTGTCGAGTTCCGGCAACTTCACCACCAGAGTTTCCCAGCAGTACGAGTTCAGGAACTCGATCAGCTTCGCGAACAGTGGGACTTACAAATTGGTGAAGCAGAAAGTGAGGGCGAAGAGGGAAGTGAAGGTTGTGGATCAGATGGGCGCGGCGGTGCTGAGGAGTAAAGTTAAGAGGAGGTACCCTCTCAATGTGATCACCGCCACGCTACCGGGGTCGCGGAAGGACACCTATTTGCTGCTGACCAATTTGTCGCATTCGTTGAAGGAGAAGGGCCTGCACGGAAGATATTCGAGGCGGGCTTTTAACCGTCAGGATTCGAGAGGGTGGATGGAGGTGAAGGACCACTCTGTTCTCCTTGGGAGTGCAGATACTAATCAGACTTTTAGTTGCAGAGATGAGTATGGTTGTTATTCAAGAACTATTGTTGCAAGATATGGCAGCCTCACCACGGATAACTCCACCTTCCATTGTTTGTCTGTCTCGTGACAACAACGGGACTCGTTCCCGTTGTTCTTCTTGTTCCGTTTGCAAGATTTCTTGGCTTCCAAGTATCTGGTTTATGCTTGATCATGTATAGATGTAATAATCTGCATTTTATTTGTATTATCTTATCATTCCATTACAGGTATGAATATAAATTTTATCTACGATCGTGTCGACGCTTAATTTGCGAGTCGAAAACAATACAAAAATGTCGAAAACGTGCTATTTCTATCTCACAGTTGGTTAATATATATGATATAAGATCGTACAGGTATAAAACAAGATGAGCAACTCCAATCACGAGTTACTTGCACCTCTCGAAGGACGCCAGAGACCTTTCTTACCGAAAAGAAACTGATCTCGGTAGAGGGCTGTAGACCAGTGAAGCGATTGCAGAATCGGTCTCAGCTTGTCGATCACTTCAACTGTGTCCCGAACCACTAGATATCCACCGGGCCTTAATACGCGATCCATCTCCACCACGACATCTACAATGTCGCATCTGACAAAATCGAAGACTAATATCAATCAAAATTGTTGACCGGTGTGCGAAACTAATAATAACATACTTTCATTAGAAGATCTGTAGCAATCAAAAGGTTATAAGAGCAGTGAGACATCATACTGTACCTGTCTGGAAGTTTTTCGAAGAGGAAATTGGAATGCAGCAGATCATAGGTTCTAGGGTAGGTATTCAAAGACTCGCACCAGTCATGGTATATTCCGATCAACCCTCTGTCAAAAATAACCGGCAGAGTATTGGGTAGATGAATGGGGACGACATTCATTACCCAGAGCTGTTGATCGGTAAGTGCTGCAGCGAACCTGAAAGGCACCACCGGTAAAAGAGGATTGGATTAGAGCAGCATTGGAGTGATCATCTGACCCCAACGGCTAAGCAATATGATGACAAAATATAAATGAAAATATCTTTACCCTCCAAAACCAGCATTCATATCCATTACATTCCGCACAGTCGACCAATTTATAGCAGCATTTTTTTTATAGGCATCTGACACAAGTGCAGTCCATTGAATGGTGTCCTTGTAGAACAATTCCTCCCCTTCCGGGTCATGATTTAGGCTTGGAGGTTTACCGGTAAGTCTGATAGGCCAGGGCAAGGGCCAGCCATAGCGAGGTAGTGGGGTAAGACAAGCAGTGAGAGGCGCGTACCTGTAACAAAAAAATAGGCAAAATTACGAGAGTCTAAAGGTACTCTGCTTAGACTAGTTTTCTGTTCGTCAAAAGCTTTACACAACTGCTGCTAGTAAGTGGCAGCGCTAGGAGAGAGGATAACCAGAAAATTACCATGCACCTACTTTCCTCTCTTTAGGACCACAAACAGGTGGATTGTTTTCTTTGCGTTTGAAATATCGGGCAAAGGAGATAGGCTTCTGATATATTACAAGCCCAATTCCAGTTGAATCGACAGTCTTAGCAACAACGTCCCAGCACATTGATTTTGTCAGAGCCTCCATTGCTGGAAGAAACATGATGAATATCAAACTTAGGTCAGCTCCACGTATCTTTGCTTTTTATAGTACATTTTATTGCTCAAGTCTAAACTCTAAAGCTTCCATGAAATGCAGTCCAGTAAAGAAAATAGAAGGTCACTATAAGGATGAGAGAAAGAGAGAAATAGAGTTGGACTACGAACATTTCCATACACTTGTATCTCTTTCATTGTCGCGATAAACTGGTGTAGCTGACCATACGAAAAAACCCCCAGGCCGAAGAACCCTGTTGAGCTCCAGTAGTGGTTTCCCTCCTACGCTAACCAAAAACCGTCAAAATAACCATAGAAAATAGGACAGAGAATAGTGCATAAAGAAAGAACTTCCAAACTTGATAGAAAGAAGTCATTTATTTAGACATGGTACCATCGGCATCCCAGTGAACCCGACACCTTGCACAATGAATTAAATCAAATGCATCGTTCGGAAATGTCAGCCTTTGCGTTCCAATCACTGAGAGAGTAGCAGGAATCCCCCTTTCAAGAGCAAACTGTATCTGAGCTTCATGTTCATCTTTCGGGGCAAATGACATGGTAATAACATTTTTATCCAGCAAATAGCCACCAAAGCTAGCAACACCACAACCAACATCTAAAACAACCCTTACATGCCTCCCCCATTCAATAACCGGCAAAGTCTGGGACGAAAAAAATAGAAACCAAATCAACATTTTCACAAGCAATGTAAAAGCAAAAGCGGGGGTAGCGGTGTACCTTTTCGATGAAATCAGTGTAGTGATCAACTCCTTCCTTGAACTGAGTACCACCCCCGGGGAAAATAAGATGGTCATCAGACTTCTTCACCCAATTTTGGTCCTTCTTGTACTCGACGAGCTTCGGGTGAGGAACATTGTCATACCATATCTAGAAACAGAGAACATCACCAATACATTATTGAATGCAAGTAAACAGACGAAGCCAACAACCACTTCACAATTCCAAAAACACTTTCCCAGAAAGGAAATCATGAAATTTTCCTGGAAAATTAAATTCAAAGCCGATTGCTTCAAGTATCAAACCAATAAACCCAATTCTGAAAACGAACCAAATCACCCGCCTTCTTCATTTAAATCAAGAAACCCATTTGAGAAAAACCAGAAACACACCAAATCACCCGCCTTCTTGAATCAAATCAACAGAGCCCATTTGAGAAAAACCAGAAACAAATCTTACCAAAGTAAAAATCTCACCATGTCCCTGCTCTGAGGCCACGAAACCGGCACCTTGTACCCTTTGGGAAGCGGCTCCAGGCACCGTGGGGGCGGCTGGGGGCAATGCCGCTCGCGGTGCTCCATATGCCGCCGCGACTGCAACGCCTTGATCGCCTTAAAATTGTCCAAGCACGGAATGTAATCGACCGCCACCGGACCCGTACAGAGGTTCCAATTCGAATTCCCAGAAACAGGGAAAGAGGGTTCCTCCCAAACGAGGTCGTCTACTTGGGTCGGCGCTCCGGAGGGGTTGGAGGGGGCGGAAGGGGAGATGGGTTGGGAGGTTTGGAGATCGGAGTAGAAGAAGAGAGGGTAAGGGGTGCTGGTGCTGGTGAAGAGGAGGATTGTGAGGCAGACGAGTAGGAGTGAGAGTGTGAAAACGAAGAGGAATTTCGCTCTTTGAAAAAGCTGGAGACTGAGATTCCCATCGTTGTTGGTTGATAGCTCTGTGTAGACTGCAGAGAGAGAGAGAGAGAGAGAGAGAGAGAGAGAGAGAGAGAGGAGGAGAGAGAGAGAGTTAGAGAGGGAGGTGTATTTATATGGAGGGGGGAGGAAGGAGGTGATCGGGGGGATTGGAGATGGAGGGAGGAGTACGCGGTATTTTTATAAGGAGTTTCGAAATGTCGGTATCCGATGGAGTAGCTGCTCGTTTATTAAACTCCGTCTGCAATTAATTATGTTATTTTCATTTCTGTCTGGAACACTCGCGTCCACAGAATTAGCTACACTATCAAATCATTTTTGTATAAAATAACGGTGAGTTTTTTTATATTTTTTTAACAAACCATATTATGGGCTAAGTCATACGATCTGCTAGTAATAATGTGATTTAAATTTATTTTTTGCGAGAATTAAACTTAAGATCTTTCACTTACAAGTAAAATGAAATATCGCTAGACCGTAGTACTAAGCTACAAAATATCGATGAGTTGTAGTAAGTTATGTGAGTCATTTTAAGACCAAGATATGAATGCAAGCTCGGATCGTTTGGAAATGTGTTTTTACAATAAAACAAATCATCAATAATCACATTATATAGTTTACATTAAGAGTAATGTTAGGGAGATTAAAATTTTAAACCAAATTGCAAATTAAATGATGTGTCTCTAATAGGAAATAAGCACATTAATCTATACTTAAGTAATAATCAAACCATCAACAATCACATAATTTGGTTTGCAAATTTGATTTAAAAAATTTCGTCTTTCTAACATTATCCTTACATACAAAGGAAAACTAACGAAAAACCATTTTTAAAGGTACAGTGAATAGTACCAGTTAAGGGTAAAAATATGGTTTTTCTTTAAAAATAAACAGTACCGAAAATATTTTGTTAAAACTCCCTACATAAATAGTCTCCTTAGCATTACCGAAATACTATTGTTAGTAATGGATAGTGATAATGCCACGTCAGCTATAATCAGTCTAGCTAATGTAGAGATGGTTTTGGTTGACTGTTATACATGATTAGTTAATTAATGTATTGAAATTATAAGTAGATTGGTTAACTTGGAGCCTTGTATATGCCTATTTTTCTGTCAATCAAGTAAATTTCATTGAACGAGACTGATAATACAAGATAAAAATCAAGGTCTAAAATATTGATATTATCCCGATATTTTCATTAAAATTTTCATGTTTTTGGATTACCGATATTTCCGATATCATATATATTTTAGACCTTGATAGGAACTTTATATTTTAGACCTTGATAGGAACTTTATGTAGTACTAAGTTACTCATGTATCTTACCATGCAATGTATAAAGTGTAAAATATTGTACTAATTCATTATATAAATAATTATGGTGTGTTTAAACTTCTTTCATTAATTACTACATATTTTCTATACTCACAATGTTTGCCAGCTCGCTATATAATCAACTTAAATCAGTTAAATTCATCATGCAATGCATTTCTATCTAATTTTTTGTGATAAACTAATAGATAATTGACTAAATAAACATCCTATAAAGTTTCAATAAAAATTTCAAAGTTTTTCTTACAATTTCCATGATTTTTATTCAATTTTTATCGATATCGATAATATCCCAATATTTCCATCGAAATTTTCGTGTTTTTGGACTACCGATATTTCTGATATCATCGATATTTTAGACCTTGATAACAATAACTCAAAGAGAGAGTCTAATACAGCCAAGCAAAAGCCCAACTCTACAAACAAAAATTATAGTAAAATAAGCCCTAAATAAGCAACCCACAGCAATATACAAACAAAAAAATATAGACTTAAAAAAGTAAAACAACCACCTCCACCCGTCCCACCACAGCAAGTCCACCACCGCCACATGGAAGAAAGACCAAATGACAAAAAGAACGAACGAAAAACGAGACTATGAGCACTCCCTTTATCCTACCAAATAGTGCAAATTGCACTTTAAATGTTACCAACAACCAAAATGCGTCACCGGATGTGATCCTTGGAGGAGATGCTCGATAAAATGAGTAACACGGGGTAGATGGTTGTAGATTCACGGTGAGAAAGTAATATTTGGAGAGGAACAATAGCTCAGAGAACACTGAAACACGAAAAGCTAAGACGACATCCGAAAACTAAGGCCATAAAAAGATAAGCAAAAGGAGGAGTTGGGGAAGGAAATGGGACAACATGGCTATTTACTGCTTTAAATGTCGAACTAAAAATTAAAGGTGTCATGTATCTGCATTCCTCCACCAAAAATTCGGCTCAGTTTGGTAAATTGCCGAAATACCTCAATGATACAATACTTCGAAATCGGTTTTATACAAATGTTAATAAAGCATGAGTACAAAATAATCAAAAAAGGAACTTGCTTGACGGAAACGGTTATGCCACTACCTCTAATCCACATTTTTTCTCAATCTACTATGCCGGGACCTGCGTCAACGTTAACTTCTCCCATTCCGGTGTCTTCTTCCTCCTCGCTACCCTCATCACCACTAACCTCCTCATTCTCCTGGCGAAGCTTAATCATGTGCTCGGCAAGTAGTTTATCATCCCGCTCGCTCACCTACATCAGTACACCATATTAGACCCATAAATACAAGAGTTTACGCGAAAAAGTCAATCAAGATTACTGTGGATTTGAAACTCATTGCTATGACTGCGCTGATAAAAAAGTAAGTTCTGTAGGTTCTAAAATAAGAGATTGATAATAAGTCAATTTCCGCTGAATATCTAAAACAGACGGCAAAACCAAGATTATATGTAAAACAGACAAAATATGAAGAATAAGGGTTGGCACTCACCACTCTGGGTGCTTCCTTCACTGCTAGTTTCCCCTTGTGATGTTCAATTTCTTGTGTGCACGCTACAATTGCATTGCTTAGAACTGATATTCCTTGCTCCTGCCCAACCAAGAACAGAAATTTTAAAAGTCATTAGTAAAGTAGCTAGTGACAACTGTATCACCAAGTTCACAACCGTCCGCGGGAAGGTCAACAGAAACTGTGCTACATTTCCAGCTTCCGAAAGTATGGTATTGGTAGAAGAGAAGTTATAACCAATGTTGTATCTATCGATGCAGGAATTGAAGAATTTGACAATATAAATCAAGCAATAAATAAGAACTAAGAGGAAACTAAATTAGCGCTAGAGTGGCAAGGTCAAACAGTATCATCGCTACACAAGTGCAGAAAAAAGGCTGTGATCCAGTAAAAGCCATCAGGTGATGTCTTAACTGACTCAAATTCAAAGGTTCAAGGTACGAAATTTGAAGATCTACTTCTTCACAAAAAGCGTGTTTAGGCTCAGAAACTCTAATGTTCCTTCTTTGCTAGATAGGAAAACAAACTTTTAAACCCTGAATCAAAACACTTGCTTATTCACAACAGCATGACCTACAATGTAGTCTATGCAGACATAGCAGACATTATCAGCGTGCCACTATACAGCTTCATGGGTAATCTAGATTTCTGCATGGTAATCGTGCAATTGAAATATTGAACAAATAAAGATTTAAATCACAGTTTGAGCAAACCTTATCAAGAGTCTGTGTGGTAAGAACATAAAGCGGAGGAGCAACCAGTTTAATTTTCACAGGACAGTCATTATTACCCGCAGCTTCTGCTTTCCTCATGGCATCCTGCAGATCACAATGTCTAAAATCAAAATCCAGCTAAAAAAAGATAAACACCGTGAAAGAAAAATAAGCAGAGGCCATTGGAGGACATACAGAACCTTAATGTGAAGGACACCATCAAATTGGAAGCACTTCATTTCGATATCAGCTCGGATCTTCAACGGTTGCGGGGTCATTCTTCTCCTAATATTCTTCACCAGAGATTCTTTAACTTCCTCTGACACAGCAGGAACCACCTTAGTGACCTACAATTCCGATGCAAGCGAGTATGACACCTCTACATATGTAACATAAACAAGAGAATATGAGGCAGAAACCTCGCACAAAAAGGCATTACCTCCTGTCCATCAGGGCCAGCCTCTTTGACCTCACATGTGAGGGTGCTAAGAACTGAATCAGGATCAGTCACAACTATTTTGAAAGCCTGCACAGAGCAATAAATCATGTTAACTACCTAAAAACAACACCACAAACATACGCTTGAACAGTGTAAACATCCTCACCTCGAAAGCATGACCATACTTCCGGTATAACGGCCAGCCAATATTGACATACAAGTCCTGTAACAAATAAAGTGAATTAGTAATAGCCTAAAATCATATGAAAAACGATAGGTAATAAAACATCAATAATTTGTTCCACCATCCGCTATTCAGATAAAGGCAGTAGCCATAAATCCCAGTTAACAATAACACAAAATCTTAGGGTTTGTTTGGAATTGCTTCTAACATGACTATAAGCGGTTTTGATGAAAATATTTTTGGAACCAATCCTTAGTAAAATGCAAATGAATCCTAAAAGAGCACTTGAAGTGGGGGCTAGTGCTTTTAGGATCCAAAAACATTTTCTCTAAAAGTGCTTTCAATCATTTTAAAAGCCATTTTAAAAGCACTTCCAAACGAAAGCCTTAAATTGTGTAAATTGCAGCAATGAATTTCTAACTCCAGTGTTGCAACACAACAGACCGGCATAAAAAAGTCTACTTTTCTTCTCCAATGTACAATTCTCACGAAATTCTCACAACCCAAAACATCACAAAACCCTAACAATCCAAATCGCACAAAAATTACCTCCAAATCAATCCCCAAAGTCTCGGCGACGTGGCGCATGATGGAGTGGACGAGCTTGCTCTTGTTGTACCTCTCCTCGCATGCCTGAATATCCTCCTCAGAAACCCTCCGCTTGCTCAAATCGATGTAGCCCTTCTCCTTGTCGACCCTGAGGACCATGACGGGCTCGATGCGTCCGACCTTGATGAGGCTGCTGACACTCCGAATCCGGCGGCGGGAGAGCTCGGAGAAGAGAATCATGCCCTCGATGTTGTTGTACTCGAGGAGAGAGACGTAGGCGCCCATGTCGGCGATGTTCTTCACCTGGATCATCACCGCCATGTCAACATCCGGGTACCGCGCTTCGTACATCCGGCACTCCAGGTTCGGTGTCTGGGAAGCCATGGTTGCTGCTGCTTCCCGGTGGATTGAATCGCCTAGGGTTAGCGTTTCTAGAGAGAGAGAGTTTCTGGTTTGCTTGGCGCGCCGGAGCAAAGAGGGTTAGGGTTTTGAGAGCAGAGAGGGATAGCTTTAGCTGTGATACTAGCAACTCAACGTCAGTACCGGAAACGCTGTTTTCTGCTTCTTCTTCTTTTTTTTTTTTTTTTTTTTTTACTTTTCTAATTTTATGAATGGGCCGGGTAAAGCCCACCTAGTTTTTTTATCAATGGGCCGGACAAAGCCACCATAGCTCAAGGCCCAAATCATGGAAGTTAAGAGAAGAAAAAGTAAGTTAAAAAATGAACGTCGACAGCAGGATTCGAACCTGCGCAGGCAAAGCCCAACAGATTTCGAGTCTGTCTCCTTAACCACTCGGACATATCGACGGTGCGGTCTTCGTGGCACAAATTAATTAAATGAAAGTATTTATACATAAAGCACTTTTCTTGAAAGCATTGTTATTCGATGAACATGGAAAATTTCAATAAAAATTCGAAAACGTGTTGAAAAATTAGTAGTGTTTCTTGGAGATTGCTAGGTGTTATCCAGAAAAAAGTGCTTCTGAATACTTTTAAATTTGGATTACCAAACGTTTTTAAAAGCGTTTTCTAATTATTTGCAAATGCTTTTAGATATTTTAAAAATACTTGGAAGTGTTTTTTTTTTTTTTTATAAAAAAATACGTACTTGATGCTTTTTGCATGAGACATTTTAAATGATTTTGAAATCCATAAATATTTTCACAAATTACATATTCAGCTATTTTAAAAATAATTCCAAACGAGCGTGATCTCACCTGCTAATCAGTGTCAATTGCATAGATTATTGTCTATAACCACAATTTCTCATGACAAAAGTTGACTGCCCATTTCCTTCCCTCCAAAGAAAACATAAATAAAGAAAAAAGATCCAACCCTTTGATAAAGCATTCACAATTCCAGAACGACAAAGCAAACAAAGTACCACGACATTGCACTAACAAAAAGAAGTAAAGCAAAAGATGTCATGACATTCCAAAAGCTTCCACAACGTCCAACATGGCGAGCTCAGATTTTGCAGAGGCACCGGGACTCGACGCCGTGGGCCTCACAAGCACGATTGTGTCCACCGCTCAAAGCGCCAGGACACACCGCCACAACTGCCAGCAGCTCGCGGAGCACGTAAGGATGGTAGGAAACTTGCTTGAGAAGATGAAATCAACGGACTTGATGAAGCTTCCATGTACAAAGGAGCCGTTGGATGGTCTTGAAAAGGCTCTTGTAAAAGCGCTTCTACTAGTACAGGGTTGCAGAGACAACAGCTGCCTCTACATGTTTGCCCTGGGATGGAGTGTGGTGTATCAATTCCGACAAGTCCAGGCGGAGATCGACCACTACGTCGGTCTCCTAGTCCGCCCCTTGGTTTCTCTGCTTCAAGAGTTTCGCCTTCAGGTATGTCAACTCCTACGGATATACAGATAGTCTGATAAGATAACATTTTCAACCGAAATAAAAGTCGCGATTGATGGGATATTACAAATAATTAACTAGTACTATTGTGGCTGTGAACCTAGAATTTGAAGGAAGGCTTGGAGGCCATTGAAGAGGATCAGAGGTTGTATACACTTGATGAACAGGACATGGAGGTTCATGGTGTGGTGTTGAAGCCTGATCGAACAACGAAAGATGCAGACATATTGGAGAGGGCGCTGTCTCGAAAATATCCCAACATGGCTTTTGATGAGGCACTCCAGGAGGAGAAAGAGAAGCTGAATATCGAACTACAGCGAGCAATAACGATTAACGATCCTGATCAATGCCGGGTGATTGAACATCTTATTCATGTAGCAGAAAATGTTGTGAGTGGTGTACTGCCAGGAAAGAAAGTTGAGAAGCTTCTTGTCAACGAACCAAGTTATGTGGTGTCAGGGTACGTAGTGTTTGAGGGATTGAGAGTACACCAGCCAATCACAAGTAATTTTTCGGTGCTACTGTCACACCAACACGTTACCAATACACTTATGTTATAACACATGTACGAGTAACAAACATTTCTCGTAAAGCACATTTTAGTAACCTGAAATGTATCTCTGCGTAAATATTTCGTTGATTAAAAGCATTTTGTGGCACAGATGCATAACCAATGCCAACTCCATCTATACAGGCCCCGGGTTTCAGCTGGAGAATGAAGGCCGGGGGGAGTGGCAGGCTGAGCTTTTCGGTTGTTGCAGTGAGCCTTGTCTAAGTGAGTTTCTCAGACCTGTTAATCCCCGTTCTAAACGCTCTTCCTCACTGTTCGAAGTACCATGTTTAAACAGGCCTGAAGACCTGCATTTACCCCTGTGGAACATTTTCATGGATAGCCAATGTGGTGTCAAAAGGAAAAATATGTAAGCATAAGCAGTCTCTCACATAGCAAGCAAAAGTGCTTTTCACTGAAGCTCTCACAAAAGAGGCCTAATTGATCCGACCTTTTCCTTGGACTACAGCTCGAGAGCAAGCAGCGAGTAATCTGATGGCTTAGACCTGGTTTGGGAGTGAGGTGCTTAAAAAAAAAGCACCCATGAAAAAAAGCTGTAAGGGTTTTAGGTGTTTGGTAAACTGAAAAAAAAAAGGCTTATTTTGGAAGCTGCTGTGAGAATAAGCTGAAATCAAAGGAAAAAGCTGAAGCTGCTATTTGTAGCTTTGGAAAACTGGCTTTTTTCAAAGCACACAGAGCTACAGTGCTCCTTTAATGAAAAGACCCACTATCAGACTGCTTTTTTTCCAAAAGCACTTTTACAAAAAAGTTTACCAAACACTCTGCTGCTTTATTTCACAGCCGCTTATTCTCACAGCACAGCCGCTTATTCTCACAGCAGCTTTTTTTCAAAGCACAGCAATACCAAACCAGCCCTTACTCTCTCTTCGGAGGCTGCTGCTGTTACACTTGCTGTATGAGAAGAAAGTTGCGGGAATTTTTTAACATAGAGGTACTCATCATATAAATCTTTCTACTTTACTACTCGAATAGTAGGCTTCTGCTTTCATCCGTCTTAACCGGAATTAGTCTCGTAGGGAAGTTGCTGTGACGACCTTCTTACTCACCTCATGTGCTGCTGTTGTGCACTGGTTCAAGAGCGACGAGAACTCGAACTCAGAAACTTTGAAGGTAAGTTACATAAGCTTCGGTCAATAGAAGCTTTTCTTTGTTAAGCACTTTTGCTCATGTTAACAGCGAATATCTTGCAGGTTGCAACGGAAGAAAGATGGTTCCTCCACCATTCCAATGGATGAAGCCTTAAGTGCCTTGTATGAAATGGACTTGCCACAAACGAGGAATGCGGGTTAGGTCAATTAGCTAAAAGGCAATGCGCTCTAAATCGCCTTCTTCATATACTAAAAAAGTTGAGGGTAGAATCTTGTCTTGTAAAATGAAAAATCAATATCAATATTAAGTGTATTGTATTCATTTTTTGGGCCTTAACACCTTCGAGAAATTCTTATATCTGACTGCTCGTATATCCAAGAGTCTCACCGTCGTCCACTTCTGGCGAGCATGCTGTCGAGTACAAGCAGTTGGACATAGGGTTTTCTCGAAAACCTTGCATTGCATCTCCTTTAGTTTGAAAATATCATGTCAAATAAGCCATTTTCTCTGGCTCAAGGGTGAGAGAGATGCGAATCCTAAGTTTTGTGTGAAGTGGATTAGCAGGATGAGCTAATGAAAGCCGTATGATTTAAAATGATTAGTCCGAATCACTGGATCCGCTAGAGAAAATATGGCTCAAATCGTTGCTCCCCTTTCATTTTTTTGGCATCAAAACAATTGCAAAACTACGGGAGGACAACAAACCGACCCACAGTTAAAACAAGGTGTTTAATGACCAATCACTAAACATTATTGGCTCGTTTGGATGTGCTTTTAAAATTATCTAAATCCGATCTTGTAGGTAAATGGATCCAAACCGAACCGACCCACATCAAAATAAATGATCCACGACTTAATCGCGGGCCGAGTAGTGGAGTCGTAGCCCAAGTATCATTTGGATCCCCTCAAAGCCCACCATGCACCATTCTGTTGGGTTTTAGTGACTGCGTCTCTCTCCCTCTCTTATCCCCTCTGTTCAGAGCTCCATAGCCGCGGAAGCTCAGATACTTCCCCAGATTTCAAATTTTGAGTTACTTGTGTGGCTATTAGTTTTGCTGCCGACCTGGAGCTGTTGGTTCGGAATCTGTTCTTCAAAACTCAAACATTTCCTGTTTGTTTTGCTCGGTACTGGGTAATTCCAACTGTTTATTTCATCTATAACGAAATACTCAACTCAACAAATCAACGACAACCCGTTGCGAATGCAGCTAAATCCCTCCCAAGGCACACTTGATACTTCATAACCTAGGTCAAGTTGGCGTTACCATATTTCGAGTTTTTTAACTGTTTGGATCTTTGTTCAAAGTTACTTCCCTACAGTAAATTTTTGTTTAAAGTTACTCCCCTAGTTGGGTAAACGTCTTCCTTTTAACATAAGAAATTTTGTGTGCAATGTCATATAAAGCTTGGTGACAAGTAACAACCTTTGAACTACTCGAATTGATGTATAAACTAGCCCTAGTCAGCAGTACTAGGATACATGAATTTGGTTAATACATTCATCATCTAATGGTCATATATGGCCAGTTATAAATATTTTCCTGCATATCTAACCGCTAGATGGTAAAAGTATTAAAGTTTAAGGAAAACTAATTAAAAAAGCTTGAAAACTTTGAGTTTTAAAGATAAAGACAACATAAATGATAAAATGAATAGTTTCATGATTGACTTTTTAATGTAAAAATATGGTTTTTCATTAAAATAAATAATACCAAAAGTTTTTCGTTAAAGTTTTATGCATGTACCATAACCAGTGGAGTTCCACCCAACAGTCTCCAAAGGTTCACCAAAAAAAATCCGGTGGACCAGACTTTTTTCCTCCCCTTTTTTTCTAAGATATGTCAACTTCTATTCATTATTCGTAAATATGTAAAAACCAAAAAGATTCATAAGCTGCATTCAACTAATTTGGCTAAAATTTGTCCCTCGTGTATTTTACTCGTCTGATAAAACTAATAAAAGGTCTTAACTACGCAACCAAAACCTATAAACAGCTACAATCAACGCACCAGACAACATGACACCACTTTCAACAGCGACTAATTCATCATCACGCAGCAACAGCATCCCCGTGGAGCAGCGCCTGGTCGAAGTGCCAAACCCCTGGAACACACGGAATAGCATACGGTTTTAAGAAACGGGAAATGAAAGCATTGTCAAAAGACAAACAGTAAACGTAGGATAACGATGACAACGAAATTGAATTATGGGTTCCTACCATGTCCTTTGCCAACTCTCCTTAGTTGAGCAACATATTCAGATATTTTCTTGATTGCTTCCACCTACAAAGGTAAAAACACAGCATCAAAAATCATGCCGCAAGTGTCCCTGTAGAACCTTTCCAACTCAGGACAAATAAAAGAGGATATCAAGACTAACCTGCTCGGCCAAAAACTCGGTTTCAACAAAATCTGTTAACTGCGGATCTTTGTTCTTCACAGCAACCTGTTAGTCGTAAATTCGAGGATGAACACAGCATAATAAGATTGTGAATTCATAACACGAACCAAACGATGTTACTGGTCCAAATACAATCACCTGAACCTAATCATCTTACACTAAGAAGACAGCATTCAATAAGAACGGATGTCTTACACTGTGCAAGTGGAGCAGTTTTTCATTTGTCAGTTTCTCGAGCGACAATGCAAGCTCCATTGCTGAATCGAAAACATAGGACCGAGTTAGAGCTCAATAATTAACAGTTAAATCATAGTATATCAGTCCTATAAACTAGTCCAAAGACAGAAAAATCATCGGCAACAACCAGGTGTTTGGTCCTTGCCTTTCTCGTTTCTCATTTAAATAAGCCAGCACACATTAAATTGGAAATATCACATCAATTTTCTTCAAAACTCAATTACAATGTTCTACAACACAACTAAATAAGAAATATTCATGTAAATCCCAAAATTTAGTTGTTGAAGTTCTCATCACAAATACACAAGCGAGGGCCGATAAAACTAACCATATAAAGCATCTCCTTTCTCTGGATGATCGAACTCCGACACAGGCATCAGAATCGACTGCAACTTCACTCTTCCACCACGCTTATTCTGGGAAATGCCGACAATAAACAAAAAGAAAAGTGATAACGAACTCGGTTTTACAAACAGTAAACTGAACTTAAGGCCCATCAGAGTAATAAAAACACAAAACATAATATACTAGACAAGGACTAAGACAAACACCTGGTATTCCATTAATTTCTCGGCATGATCCCTTTCTTCCTCACTCGATTCCTTGAAAAACCTGCGATAAAACGAAACCATAAAGAACGAAATCACTGTATTAAAATGCTCAAATTATCATAAAGTGTTTCCAGGACATTACTTGGCAAGACCCTTGAGCGCAACATTGTCCCTGTCGAAATAGGCGTACATAGCATGGTAAATGTACGAGACATTGTACTCCACACTGATATTCCACCAAAGAAACAAATCAACCGTTAGCGTGCATCAGAGCGTAAAAATACAACCGAATTTCGACAAAGATTAGTCGGACTCACAGTTGCAATACTTTTAGATACGAAATTCGAAACCAAACATTCATACACAAATCCAAGAACAAAGATTTACTAATCCAACCGTATACAAATCCTAGCAGGTATACGGATAGAACAATTCGCATTAAACAATTAAAGGCACAATCGAATATTTCTTCAAGATTTAAACTTTAACACACAAAATTAATTGCAGTAATCAAATACTATAGAAACAACAATTCTTTCATAGATATATAACACGTGAAGGGAAAAGAAAGAAAACCCACTTGATCTGCTCGTTAATGGCGGCCTCGCTTTCGTCAGTGAACTTCTGGCGGGCGAGAGACACTTGTGGGAGACTAGGGACGAGGTCGAGCTCCTTCTTCACCTCCTCAAACGGCTCGAAAACCACACCGGTAAGCGGCCGATTATTCGCGTTCTTCGAAGCGCAGACGACGACCCCACTTTCATTCCTCGCCGGAGAGAACCGGAGAATCGATGACATAGGCGTGGGGGAGGTCCGAGGCGAGAACGAGTACGAAACCGACGGCGGCGATGACGGCGGAGCAGAGGAATACAAAGGATCAAAACTGTCCCCGCGAGCGAGCGAGGGAGAGGAGGCCGGAGAAGCATTGAGAAGCATGATTCTGGAGAGAGAAACAGAGGAAAATAAGGGTTTTGAGTGAGTGTGGAAGTGGAGAAAGGGACTGGGATATATGGGTGGCCTAGGGCTGTGTGGACCATTGGATCAAAACCACGTGGACGACTGGGATTTATTTGTTGGGAGGGCGCGTGGCGGGGTTGTGGCATAGCTGGATGTGCTGTGGGATCCACGGAAATATCTGGAACTGTGGGGAGTGTGTTGAACTTTTCTGGATAATTCTATTCGTGAATCGTATCTGTTCATTGTATATCGTGCGATCCGTTTTTGTCAAGATATTTTGTTATAGAACTGATATTGCTTCTTGATTTGCAGATGTTATTTCAATCCCCAAAACGAATGAGAATTTCCGTCTCCTTTATGACACAAAGGGTCGGTTCCTTCTCCACTCAATCCGGGACGAAGAGGCAAAGGTTATTTTTACCTTTCAGTGCATGCCTTGAACCCTCGTCCAAAAAAATTTACATGACTTGAATAACTACTGCATTTGGATCGTGTTTCATTGTTCGATATGGATCCTTTCGATCCGCAAAATTCCACAACTCGAATAACACAAAGGGTCGGTTCGCCCTCCGTTCAAATTGCATTTCTTCCGATTAACTGATGGACATTTTCTCTATTCTGATTTCTTGAGAACGGGTTTTTCGCTGGAACCGGATCCCCTCCTAAGCATAGGGTGGGATCCTCTGATCAGCCCATCTGGGCCCTTCAAATTTGATCCAACAGTTACAAACATGAGGCTCCTCTAAAAGTTATAATTATTATAACCGTTTAATCAAATTTCAAGGGCCCATATAGGCTGGTCAGAAGGATCCCACCCTATGCTCAGGGGATCCGGTTCCTTTTCGCTGCAGTTAAAACTTTGCAAAGTCCGGTCTGTGCAATGACCTACGACGGCCGAACCATATGATAAAAGTATTAAAGTTTATGCATGTACCGTAATCAGTTCAGTTGAAAGATTGCCAACCCCTTAACACGGCAGTCCTCTTTGTTGGCATATAAAAAAGGGGTATGAGAATCATTTGCCCTTTTCCAGTGGAGTTCCACCCAAAAGTCTCCACAAAGGGTCACCAAAAAATCCGGTAGACCAGACTTTTTTCCTCCCCTTTTTTCTAAGATATGTCAACTTCTATTCATTAGTCATAAATATGTGAAAACCAAACAGATTCATAAGCTGCATTCAACTAATTTGGCTAAAATTTGTCCCTCGTGTATTTTACTCGTCCGATAAACTAATAAAAGGTTCTAACCACGCAACCAAAACCTATAAACAGCTACAATCAACGCACCAGACAACATAACACCACTTTCAACAGCGACAAACTCATCATCACGCAGCAACAGCATCCCCGTGGAGCAGCGCCTGGTCGAAGTGCCACACCCCTGGAACACACGGAATAGCATACAGTTTTAAGAAACGGGAAATGAAATCAGATAATGTTATTGTCAAAGGACGAACAGTAAACGTAGGATAACGATGACAACGAAATTGAATTATGGGTTCCTACCATGTCCCTTGCCAA